TGTCTTCTACTTATCTTCTTTCTCCTTGATTTGTTGATGGCACGGGACCCTCATCGCGTTAAACGCTGTCCAAGTGTACAACCACTATGTTCTCATTCATGCATAAGTCGTAGCACCTGGGCCACCATGCTGTGTGTTACATGGCGGACCCGGTCAAAACCAACAAACGTACTCGCATTTTATCTGATTATTAGTCAAAATATAAACACCCTGTGTAGGTTTTATCAATACTGGGAACTTTTGACAAGGTGCTCACTCGGCTCTATTAGATAAATGCACATTTAACTTCAAAAGATAAATGCTCTTCAGGGTTTTACGTTTATATCGTTTTGTGGCTAAGCATATTTAAGTGTCTGGGACGGTCGACAGGCCTATCAATGTGCGCTCAGTCAAATATTGCTCCGAATGCAAAATCAAAGCAATCCGTAGGTTTTGGAAATAACATAAAAGTAAGGGTTGCTGGTTGCTGGAAAATGAGGATTTGTTTATCCAATTTTAAAAGTACATCTGTGGTCGGTAGTGTGGTCTGCACAAGTCAGAGAAAAAAAGCTGAAAATGTTTTCGACAGTTTCACGTATCCAGTAAAGCGGCGAAGCTAGCCTCGTCTAGAAAAGTGACATGCCATATCAGTTTACACGTGTGCCACACCTCACTAGACTGTAAATTATTGATACTAATACAATGATGGATGTCCTTAAGCACCTATAATAATGTCAAATCCGGGTCATTTTGCGACACGGTACCAAAACGAGAGGGTAGAAAATACTACATTTTGAAGTTATTCCTGCTAAAACATTCTCGGTTCATTGTGGCTCATATACAGATTAATAGACAATGAGGTAGAGCAAGTAACTGAGTTTACATAAACTTATAAACTATCAAGAGAATAGCTCATGCAACAGTTTCTGTACTGCAGACATTTTAATGCTAAAGTGGACATTGCTATTTCGATGTACAGCAGGAGATATGTCAAAAGCCATGGCACATTGACGGAAAGAATTCGGAAAAAATAAGAGGGAAGTGGATGAATAATATCATCAATACTTAAAGCAGAAAACTGCTGCAACATTGTGAAATGTAGTTATACTACTAAATAAAAATTGCCAAAATTCCCAGGTGAGTGGAGAGAATAAACATTGAAGGCCAAAAATCATTCCAAGCTGAATGCTTGCTTATACTGAGCAAATTGACTACTTAATAAGAGTTATAAAAAGATGGTTCCAGAGCCATTTTTGGTCAAAATTCAAGGAACGCACTTTTAGTAAAAAGAAAACTTTAAATAGCTGGTGAGCAGTAAATAGGCGTAGTTGAAAACAGTTAAAAACGCGAATTCGAGTAACATTTGACTGACGACAAAGCGTATTTAACAGGTCCATCGGGAAATGAGAAAAAGTGAATCCTTTGGCAATTGGAGGCCTTGGCCGTTAACATCGATCCTAAGTTCAACTACACAGGCATCTTGCGGCAGTCAGCATGATGTGCTGGCGAACAGTGAGTTTCACTGCCGTGAACAGCAAATACTTGCTAAGTTTGTTTGATGAATATCGCCGCTGCTGCCGACATTACCATCACTATCAACTTATTTTTTTAAAATTTCTTCCTCTCATTGTCGGTCTTTCAATGTAGATGAGTGTTCTATTCGTTTTACTTGGCTCCAAACATGAACATAGCGTTACAAATCCCCTTTTGCAAGCCGGAAAATAGTTTCATTAGAAATAAGAGCGTTTGATGGTTACTAGGCGCATTTTCATTAGACCATTTACACAAAGCCTTGTAAATACTAGTCAATGAGGAAGTCTTTTTAAATAAAAAGGCAAATAACAGAAGAAATAATCAAGGATTTCTGATCTTATTCAGAATTAAGCACGCGGATAAAAGTGTTCATATCTTCTGTGAAAGGATTGCAAGATGATTACACTGCACTGTGAAATGCGATATTTAATCAGTTATAATAAAGAAAACAAAACGCACGAGATGGCGCTTCTGTGGTCTGCGTCTCCCCGTAGTTTTTATAGTCCTTGTCATGATCAGGATCATCCGGCGACAGTTCCTGCCAGTTTTCTTCCCACCCGCCTTCTTCATCCGCAGTTCCCATCACTGTCTGATCCTCAGGTTCAATACTGCGTCGGCGCTTTCGACCGGTTACACCTAGCATTGCTCTAGGACGGACTCTACTGCTAGTAGCTGCCAGCGGTGGATGAGCGCTGACCAATCTGGATTTCAAAATGGCTCCACCCTGAGGCAGATGAATGATGGGACGCCTAGGCAGGCCCTCCTGTATGTGTCCGTGGCTGCGGTTTCTTGAGCTGCCGTCGTCTTCCTTGTCCACCCGAGTTCCCGTGCCGTTGACCCTCTCCAGTGGAGGGGGATGGCCTCCCAGAAGCGTCCGCTTGAAATCCTCAAAACTTGTCACTCGCTGAACGGCAATGGCTTCGCTCTTGAGTAGTACTTTTTGGAAGATATCCTGTGGGCCAGCACTGCCGCCAGTCTCACGTTCTTGAGACTGGTGGCGTCTACTTTGGGCCCACCTGAATTGCCTGAGCCGTTCCATCCGCCGACTGTGCCTCAAGCTCTGGCGGAAGAGGTGCCATTGGTTGACGATAAATTGTATCTGTTGTTTCATAAAGACAAAGGGAGCGGGTGTTATAAGATATAATTTAACGTTTTAGGTTAACTTACGCTACTCTGGTGTCCTAAGCGTTAGCAGAGTAAAAGTGCACATTATTTCCTACGTAACATAGAGGGAAATGGCAAAAATTGTGGCGCAGAGGATGCAAACTTTGTTTAGGAGTTGATTTGTGCAGAACTTGAGGGTTAGACTGTGTCTAACTTCGGAGCAACTTTGCATAGATGCAGCTCGTGGCAGAAACTTGGAGATTGGTGCGAGGGTAGCGTTACTTGTAATTTTATGGGGCGCTAACTGACGATTCAGTTCAGGTTCAGAGCGCTGGGCCTTTAAGAAACAGGTAAGGGAGTCGAGCATGGGGTGATGAACCACATCCGTTGAGTATGCATAGCTGATGATGACTAATAAGCCAGAAATCAACCCTCCAGTCTATAGTTTCTTTGTCGTTAAAGTCTGTCTACTTGACGTGTCTTGCGGAGCCAGATTGTGCGTTTTATGAGCTGACGATATTCTTTTATCCTTACCAGCCATGGCGTTACATCTCAGTGTCAGTTGGCTGGCTGGCCGGCCTGGACAAAGAACTGATACCCAAAGGAGTTAAAAGTGCGTTCAACAGGCAATTTCGTCCCCACGATAGTCAGTGAATATTCTCCACAGAAACCAATTAGACACTTGGCTTGGAAGGCGGCCAACTGACGAAATACATTGGTCCTCTGAAGACGAACTGCCACTTTAATGTGGCCTCTGTAAAACGCACACTCAGTTGGTATTCGAGTCGTTGCCCTTTTGTCTCTATGAACAGCTGTTCAATTTTGTGTTGCTTGGGTGTGAATACCACGCAAAAGTAGACTGTTTGCCTTTGCCAGCTAATCTGTCCGATATTGCCTCCCAGTTTTCTTGGCTCCGCTTTAACACTGGACTCAGATAGGTGAGGAAGAAACTAGTCTGATAGATGATGCGCAGGTATTTGTTCATTATGAACTAATAATTATCCCTGCGTTGATCATGCTATTGAGCTCACGTTGGGCACCGTGCTAATGAACGGCCGAATTGTGACCAACAAATATACCCACCCAGGTGGAGTTAACTTGGTTTAGTCATTTCAGGGAATAGACAGAACTAATTAAACCTACCGCCAGGAGGCAAATAACAAGAACAATTCTAATCATGATCTTTATTTTTAGACTACCAAGCAATGGTCTTACAGCATACTCAAGTAATATTATCCACACAATATGACTGTGCTCTTTCTAAATTTTGATGACTTGTTTGCAGTTGCTTTTGGGTGGAACACAGCGCCTCAGGAAAGCATATATCTAAAGGGCCACATTTTAATCAAGGAGAAGAAGGTGGCTATAAAACGTAATTGAAACCCCTTTCCTGGGAAATAAGCGCAGTTCACGTTTGAAAAACTTTATGAATTACATTCAGACTCAGCAGGAAATTGTAACAAACACTCTTCGGCAATACGTTATTGTCCAGGCACCTGTGCAGAAACCGGATCTGCGTATAGGTTGAGGCCTCACGAATGGTAAACGTTTCCCATCGTCGGGCCGATCGATGCGCATCGCGCCCAAATCCGTGACAGATCTCGAAAAGTCAGGCGAATTAACGCATTGTCTCAGCGATCGAGTAGTCTTTTTCTCATCTCCATTCAGACTAGTAACTTTGTGAAATCAAAGCTCTATGAATATTTAATTTGGAAATCCTATGGATATTATGCGTTTCACTCGGAACGATAATCGTGTATCGATAACCGTTTCTACCTTTTAACTCTTTTTGACCGATAAGTCGCTCATATCTAATGAAGATAGCTATTTTATGAAGAAATGGATTCCCATGCCGTTTTACTGTGAAAACCGTAAGATTCAGGCAAAAAATAAGTAAAATGTGCAATTCTAAGTTTTCGTCAAGTTCAGGATTCGGCTCAGACATGCTTTGTCATTGGCGACGCCGAGAGATTTTAATTAAATCGTTAACGGGTTCGATAAAGAGTGACTTTCAGTCGAATCATCAAGCCAAGAACTGGGGCTTTGAAATAGAGAACTGACTACTGATGGACTTATCAGAAGCCCAAAGGCAAAATGTTCATAAAATAATTACTTCGTGTTTGTTATTGGGTAACTTGGCGGAAATTTGATTAAACACATGTTATTAGGAGGTTTGGCAGATTTGCTTAATTTGAGATAACCCAATTAAACTCATGTTCCTGGTGTGTCCCGTAACTCAGATGGTTATAGCGTTGGCTGTTCCCAAGCTCGGTCCCTGCAGCTGTAGGTTCGAATAGCACCGAGGCCGTAACATTATTCACAATTTTAACAAATCAAAAAATTTCTGTAAAGGTTCTTTTACAATTGTTATCATAAAAGTACATAAATTGAAAATGCTAAATCGGCGTTTACTTGTCATGATTTTCACATTTCTTACTTTTTTGATTTCAGGTAATGCTGTCTTCCGTTTAGGATTGGGGAAGAGAAGTACCTCATCATAAATAGGGCATATAACCATGAAGAGTAAAAGTCTTTCTGTTTGTGTAATGATCTGGTATATAAAAAATTATTCTTTATTGCAGCAACTCTTAAGGGAATTGCGGCCGATTTCCTCTCCGTCCGTGCTTAGTCCTCCGCAAGGTAAGTCGAACTTATGGTATCAATAGCTCTAGAGGATATTTACTTCCTCACATATCCTTTGAATGTTATATAAAATATCAAAGACGTGTACTGGAGAAATGTAATTTGCTGAGCTAGGTTGATATAATTTGCAATTAACTTATTGACCTTTAGCTCTCGATCAGATGTTCGGGTATTGACAAAAAGATAAAATGTCAACCGACAACAGATAAGATCACGCTTTGTTGTCGGGATGTGCGCTCGAGATTCAGCTCCCGATAAAAGGGCACTCTTTGGATACGTTCTCCACTATTGTAAATTATAACACTGGTCCTGATATTTGGACTTTTCAGAAAAAGTGCATCAAGCCTCTGTTCGAAGGCCCCTTGCTAGCTGTTCTTTAACTTTCTGGCCAGTCCAAAAGTTTTGTTTGAAAGTAAGGGAAACTAATTTCGCTTTGCCGTTTCTGTGTTGTACAGCGATGTTTTATTCGCATATAGAAGCCAACAGTCGATTAACCTTTAGATTTATCAATTGGAGATTTCCCACGCTTCTTCCAAATGTCATGCGATTATATGAACCAAAGATTTTTATACCTCTGAATCAGGTAGAGGGGACAAATCATCACTTTAGGCAACAGCGTGAGCCCACTCTTTCTATATCTGCAAAAATTAGGTAAGCTCGTTTCGAGGGAAGTAAGCAAAACCTATGTAAACTATGGACTAGCAAAACAGGATTCAAAGTCTCAGAAATAAATATAAATTATTCGTGTACGCATCGTGAATCGTGGTCACATTTATCTTATGTTCTATCATTATGTCATTTAAATTTGATGGTTATTCTTTATTGCAATTAGAACTCGACGTAGATTAGGTTAAAATGGGGGTTGAACTCTATTGCTTTGGTGTATCATGCACTACACGCAGCCCACATTCCAACATATGATGATTTCATGAATGTCAATGCTAAAGTCCCAAATAATTTTTTGTGCTTTGCGCCCAAATGACACCACTTCGAGGAGTTTGCTAAGACATTCACTGACCCTGTTCGGCTTATGACTCATGCTTTGAATTTAAAAAAGGCGGTTATTAAAATAAAAATGAATACACGAGCTCCGTTCTTAAAATGAGGTTTTATAGTATGGTGAATAGTGCTGTGCAGAAAACCGACACAAACGGTCGAGTGATGCTTTCACACATAATTTTTGCCTGGGGCACCGAAAAATGCTTACAATAACGAGCCTTAATACACTGAAAGGTGTTTTTCCTTAAAATAGGTTTTGCTGCACAATACAAAACAGCAACGCCGAGGGAAATGGAAGGGTTGTTATTTAACATACTTGCGGTCAGCCTTAGGATGGAAGGACAGGAGATTTTAACTCCAGTGAGTTTGTCTGTGTGTCAAGAATTCTAACAGTTCAACCTCACTGTTCCCCCTCTTCTACTTACAACGATTTATTATACGAACATCTATGAGAACACGGTATTGCATTTCGACGGTTAATCAAATCTATCAATTTCCACCCCCTAATTTAATTAGTGACGTGCTTCTTCGCTCTTCTCTCATGCTAAGCAGGTTAGGTGGATAGATACTTGAGTTAATAGAGTAACATAAGTTTGCATCAAAAGTGATTATTTTCAGTACGTCTCTGTTGCTTGCGGTGGAAGGTATTTTCCGAATATATAGCGGTGCTCGCATACTGAAAATATCTCAACATATCCTCATTCTTGATAAGTTAAAACTGCAGGAGGTGGCGTATCTCATGAAATGTTGGACGAAATTCTGAATTTTTTTAGGTAGATGGGATTGTTAATATTTATTATCTAACTGTAAACGCGTAATATGCTTCAGTAAGAACGGAGTGACGGCTTTCGAGCGAATGTCTCATCGAAGGCGCTCACAGAGACCCCCATCAATAACAAAGGCATCTTGAGTCGCACTCAATTTTCCACTAATTTTCAGTGACATTATCAATTCCAATATTTCTATGGACAAAATGCACAAAATGAACTTTATTGTGCCAATGCGGTAGAAGCTCATGTCTTGTTCAAATCTGCTCTCGAGTGAAGGGTGCTTTTTACGTTTGAATAAAAATTCGTCCCCGAGCGAATAATTTTGAACTCGACATCCCGTTAAACTTGTAAACAGGGCTTCCCAAATATGAGCATATATTTTCCAAGGCAGAAGAAGCATACATTTTGTTACGTTATCAAGAATATCGCCATAAACCTTTTACACATCCGTAATAGGCATGGAACATGAACGAACATCTCGCGGACTTCAAAGGTCTTATAATGATAAACTGTTAAACAAAAG